AGCGACACATAATATAAATGTATGTATAGTTTACTTTCGTTTAATAAAGCGCACATAACTAGCCTGACAGCGGGTTATTAAAAAAAAAAAAATATATATATATTAAATTTTTTATATAATAAAAAAAATAAATTTTTGAATAATCATGAAAAAAATTTTATTCAAATTTAAGAATAAAGTAAAAAAAAAATCATTAAATTTAATAAATAATTTTTAGAATAAAATTTTTTTGAATATATTTAATTTAATAATTTATTAGGTTTAAATAAGTGATAATAATAAATTAATAATAATAGCCTTTTAATTTAATAATTGTAAAAATCAAAAATATATTAAGAAATTATTTTTTAAATTAAATTTATAATATTTAATTAAATTAAATTTTTATTAATTTAAATAGATTTGATTAACCTTTTTAATATCGCAAGTCTTTAATTAATAATATATAAAGTTATTATTATGTAAAAGTATTATTATAATATTGAATTGGTTTTTATTATTATTTGATAAAAATAAACTAGAATAGCAAGATTATAAATTAAAAAAAACAATAATAATAGTATAAAAATAAAATTTTTTATTTTATAATTATATGAAATATCAATAAAAGCCTATTAATTTGAATGTTAAAAAAATTGGGTTAACATATATTAATATTTATAAAATATTAAATAACAAAATTAAAAGAAAAAATATATTCAAAAATAAGAAAAAAATAAACAAAATTATATAATATTGTATTACTTAATAAAATATAAAGATAAAAAAAAAAAGTTTTATATAAAAAAAAAAAAAAGATATTTATATATATTATGATAGATAATTTTGAGTTTTATTTATTTTTATTTTTAAATTAAATTTTATAATACTTTATGTAATCAAACTGTATCAATTTTACTATATCAATAATTTATTTTAATTAATTATTATTAACACGTATTATATGCAAAATGTTTATTGGTCAATTTAATATAATATAAGAAATTTTATATATTGCCTGTATCTATGTACTGATATTGATTTTAAAATAGATAAGATAATACTGTAAATGCATAAGTACAAATTTTCTGTTCTAAATGATGAGTAATAGACGCACGAAAAAAACTTTCACACGATGAAAGGCCGTTTTATTGTAAAAAAAAAAGTCTGCCCTGTATATTACATTGCATAAACTACTTGAGCCTTTATTCGCTGTATTTAATTTGACTTTATCGGTCACATAACATGTTCGTATTGATGATTTTGATAAATCGGGCAGGTTTGTGTACGAGAGATTAAAATTGTGAGATGAAAAGGTTTTTAATAGATGTCGATTTGTCTGTCTCCGTGAATAATTATCGAACTTTATTTTTGAAAAATTAACGATAATTTCGGCTCTTTAATATCTGATTTAATAACATGTTATATAGACAAAAAAATAATAAAATGCTGTTATGAACTAATGTAAACTAGATAGTAGAATCCCGAAAATCATTATACTGTATGTGTGACCTTCACTAACGGGATGTTAGTACTGCACGCAATATTGGTTCTAAATATTAATCACCCGACTGTTTTATCTTCTAAACCAATTGTAATGTAATTATATGCAACTCGATCTCCGCTTCAATCATATCATGATAAAAAAAAATTTCATGATGGAAATACAAGATAAATAAGGGGTAAATTATTTATGACGGAAAATGGCGTTACGCGACCCTTAAGTTTCACAGTTCCACAGTTACCTCTGTATGCGTGTAATACGAATGATTGTGTTAATATCAACGACACCTTTCGTAGTGGAAGTCTTGAATATGGATGACATATTGCTATTTTTATAATCATACGATCATATACTGTATTGATGTACCGTACATAACATTCAGTGTCATAATTGTTTTCTCAAAGTGGACAAGCTCAAGTATCAAATTACGTAATGTAAATTACAAATGATCTCCGTGATTTACGCAAAAAACAAACATAAATAATGCTACAGTAATTGTGATAGGCGGGAATTGATATTTTAAGACCATAGAAAAAATTTTTGAATATACAGTATTATTGATTAAAAGGAAGGTTTTCTTCCTCTGTGTAGGCAGGACAGAAATCTTGATAGTTATAATGACAATTTGTTGTGCCTGCATCACGAGAGAAAGAATAAAAAGGAGGTAGCTGAGGTATCGGTTGCATTGATGAATGAGTTGGTGACGATTGAATACTATTTATTGGATTCAAATCAATTGAATCATCTTTTTGTGTGTCTTCGCCAACGATTGGAAACTGATTCATCGATAGAAAATGATCGTATGCTCGAGAAGGATCCGATATGAAATCCTGGTTTCCGAAAAAAAAGTTGTTTTCCACGTTTGCGCAATGAGTTGGTTCGTATGGAGTCGAGTGGAATTGTTGAATTAATGAAAATTCATGCAAATCCTTGAAGGTTTGATTTTCTGGAGGTGGGAATTGCAGGTCATTCGTAGACGAAAAAGCTTGACTTAAGATCATAGGGTCTAACGTATTATAGGATGTATCAGGTGTGGTGTTCAAGTTGATAGGTGGAGTATTTTCCTGAGGAGAAAAGGTATGTTGATCCTTCATTAATGAAAGTTGTTCTTGGTTTAATCGGATAGCCTTTTCGACTCTTTTTTCTTTACACGCGATTACTTCAATGTTCGTTCTTCTTGGACCACGTCGTGCCTTCGAACAGTTATAGGAGCATTCTTGTCGATGCTTGATACAATTTTCGCATGGGCAACTACCAGTGCATTTGATTTTGCGCAATTGACAAAACGTACACGCTAAAGTAACTTTGACACGCGGTTTTGTTACTTTTTTTATTATTGTTGGGGAGAAGTTCGATTTTCTTTGCATATTATAAGTTTCCTTAAATTTATACATAATACTTAGATTAAAACATTTGTTTACACCGTAATGCGCATGTATAAGTTTATCGAAAATTTGAGGTTTTTAAAAGAAAATAGTAATATTGTACAATGAATTTATATATTTTCCTGTGATAATAATCGAAAAGTTGGCACATTAACTCCCAAATTTAGTTGGTCGCGGATTAATTTAAAATTTGTGAAAAAAATTAACCAATTGGGAGAGATAGCGAATTCAAAACAGAATTATATAACCATATCTATTCACTCATAACGAACTTGAGTTTCTTATCGTAACAGGAACCAGGGATTATTTTTTCCTGAAGTTTTCATACAAACCTCACGTTGTTGTTCGATTTATTTAGTGAACTGTTCACAACGAACATCGTGGTGACAACGTGTTTACTGTTCTAATATGTTTAATGCTCATCCAATACGTGACCATTCAACTTGTCAGCATCTGCAATGGTTAATAAAATGACTTTTTTCTTTTCTAGTGAAATAAAAAAAATTTTTTTTTCAATACGACCATAAAAGGTATTCAAAAATTGCTTCATTGAAAATACTTCTAAAATATGTTTCCTTCTTATGAGAATAACAAGATTGTTCGTGATATAGTGTTGAACTCATGTATCTAATTCTTGGCGGTATAACTATGATTAACGTATGACCTCGTACAATAATATGACCATACAATTAAATTCATAGACACGAATCTCACAACAAACAGTGTAACTGAAAACACGAGAGATTTTTTGCCAAAAATAAAAGGCACGGGAGTGCATCACTTATTTGGCACCCTTATGACACTCGTGCTCGCCTGTGCAGCATTGTATTCGAATGAAAATTTCTAATTTATATTGGAGTCCTAAAATAAAGAGAATTCGCAATTTAGCATTTAAATAAAAGGAGTTTAATTTAAAATTAGCATTTTAAATAAAGTCTATAGTTGAAAAAATAATGTGCATTATTGTAAAGAAATAAAGCATACAATAAGAGAAATGGAGTATCTTTTATATGCATTCATTATCTTATAATTAATAATGTTAGTACCGCATACGACAGTTCCGCGATTTTCGTGCGATTAGGTCACGTTTTACATGTTTGTAATACTGCACAAGTGATGCTCAGGTGACGCGTTACACAATACACAAAAGGTAAGCGTTACTATAAACTTTGCCTGCTTTTATCTAAATAGTTTGTTTCAGGTTTTTATGTATCTTGTCTATCTTTAATTCAAAAAAAAAAAACCCCCCGGAATTTAGGATTAAAATTTTTGTAAATCGATATGTACACATCTATAATTATTTGTTTACGGTATTTCTTTGTAGGTCAATAAAAATTTTTTCAAGTATTATATATTTGGTGATCTTTTTCGAATTTAAAATATATTATTAAAGTATATACGAAATAAATAATCTTTTTCAAATTTAAATTAAATAATAATAATTATATTTTATTAATATTAAATTTATTATTGAATTATAAATAAACATTTGATTTTATTTATTCACTATTACAATATATCATATACTGTATATATACAAAAAAAGCTTTTTTTGAAAAAAGTATATGAGTCAAAAAACAAGAATAATATTTTGTTTTAATAACTTTAATAGTCAAGTAATTTAATAATTATTTCTAAAATATCAATTGAAAAAATAAGTGTTACTTTTAAATCAACTTTTTTATTTTATTTTATTTTTTTCTTTTTTTTTAAAAAATATAAATTTATTTATTTATTTATTTTTATTTTATTTTTTTTATTTTTTATTTTTTTTTAAAAATATTGGCTCAACCTTGTTTTATTTGTATTTATGCAATATTATTACATAGAATTTTTCTAAGATATACTACCAGTCTACCATTAAACAAAACTCAATAGAGATGATCTCTCTTAGGAAGAACTCATCTTGTGGCTTGTTATCACCCCTTTAGTATAAACTAATCTATCAAAGCTGGACTAGTGTTAAAATAAAATTCAAGGATATAAAAATTATCTATTATATTTGTTATCTATTGTGTTATAAATTAATTGACCAAATAAATTAACTGATCTTTTATAAATTGTTTTCTTTATATGAAGAGTGGGTCTTCTTCTTTGGGTTCATACTTAAACTTCTTTTTCTTTTGTTTTATAATGCCATTTTATGCTTTTCATTCTTGAAAAACCTCACATCTTTTTGTCCATATCTAATAAAAGTGTTTAATGATTTTTGTGTATATTAAAGATATGCAGCTTTTCCTGATTAATTTGTCTAGGATTACTCTCTTGATATTGCAAATTAGTTCTTTGAAGAATACATATTTTATGCTTACTATTAAGTATTCCTTGTATTTCAGATTGGTTTTGTTTTTTATTTGGTCGATAAATTTTGAGCTTTAACTCTGTTCACATGTGTTTTCATATATTCAATTATCATTTTGATTAAGAATGTCTCGGTGTTTTGTTTAGTCTGTAGACACATAAAGGGATATGTATTGATTTCAGATTCTTTGTCTACCAAGCAGTCCTTGTTTTAATATAATGATAGGGCTCTTGCATATAGTTTACTTTTGATTAGTAGTTTCTTATTTCATATTCTAAGGTAAAATTTTCTTAACTTTTGATTTTTCTAGATTGTGTGATGATCACTTATCTTAGTAAGTTGCAGGTATATTATGGTTGTGGGCAAGTCTGTTTCTTTGATGATTCTGTCACTGAAATTATATCTTGTTCTATTTAATAGTCTCCATTTTACTAGGTGTATAGTACTTATTGACTTTTTTGTAATCATTTTTATAGGAATTTCAATAAGAATATTGTTTCATTAGGGTTATTCCAATGTATTGATTATGTATTTCTACTATCTCAATTTCTTTTTTCTCTGATAACATACCCTTCCAAGAATAGATTTGTGCTAGTTTGTTTGCTGTTTTATTGTGTTCGATTTCTGAATAGCATTTTACTTTGAAAAGTGACAGTTTTATGTTTTGTACTTTGCATCATTCTAAAATTTATAACAGCATGTTGTAGTTTTTCTGTGTTTTTATGATCTTTTCAATACTTTCTCTTTGTGTTTTCAGGATTCTATTGATTGCTGCTTGATTATCAATGAATACATTTGTGATGCTGTATTTAGGTAAAGTGCTAAGAACTATTATAATAGCTGCTATTTCTATCCTGATTGAAGAGGTGTGTCTAATTATGTGTCTTCTGATCTGGGGTGATAATAATCCATCCCAGTTCCATAGGTTAGGAAGTTCTCTGTATAAATATCGAAAATTGTACAGTTATTTAGTTTCTCTTAGATTGTTTTTAGGATAGTAAGGCTGTCTATAATGCTTTTTATAATGTTATTTAATTTTTCAAAGCTTTTTTATAGCCTTGTTGAAATTGTAATTTCAGTTTTGTCTTCTTTTGAATTTATATTATCTTGTGTGATATTCAAAGAGTTAGGAGATACTTTGTTTCTATATCAAAGTTCTCTGCTTACAATATTGATTTTGTTTGTTGATATTTTACTTTTTTGCACTGGCATGGTAATTGATCATTGTTTTGTTACAGTAAAACTGTATTCACCAGTATTGTTCTCTAATATGTTGATATTGCAATCAAAACATGCCTCTAAAGGAGAGCTTTTTGATTCGTGAGTATAATATCTATATTGTATTATTTGTTGATCAATTTTCCATTGTTTTTTTCCAATAGCTGCCTTATCTTCCTTAATAGTACAAATCCAATGTGATCTAGTAATTAAGGTTTCAGATGTTAGAGCTCCTTGCTTGAATATATTTAATGAGGTATTCAGTGAGTTGCAAATTTTCTTTCTTTCAATTAATTTCTCTAACTTTCTGTTAATAGTATTAAACCAGCTGAGGGTTGGATTCAAAACTACTTTTTTTCCTATTCTAATAATTTGGCACCAGTCCAGGATCTTGGTTTTATTTCGGTTTAATATTTAGCCAGTAAACATGAGGTTGTGCTTTTTTAATTCTTGACGATATTTAAAATAAAATTGTTTTTTCATAATTCTATCTATTGATGTATTTACTTCTTTTATGAGTGTTAAGCTATCTGTATTTGAGGTAAGTAAGAAGATAAAGCTATATCTTCTCATAAGTCAGATTATATTATATGTGAAATTCTTTTCTAGATTTATTAAGAAGTGTTCTAGTTTGTTTAGGATGGACTGTATTGATCAAAAGTTGTTTTGAATAGATTGTAATTTAGCCCTTGCTATATCATCTACTTTGTTCTGTTTATTGATTTTGTTGTACCAATTAGTAGAATGTAAGAGTAGTTGTTTATCCCAAAGATATATAATATTATATTTATATTTGTTGAAGAGTATATTGTTAAGAGTTGTTCTAATTAAACCTAGCTTATATTTGAAGGTGGATATAATACTGTTCATGAGTGGGTTGCACACTTTTTTAAAGAGTATTATGTTATTACATAAGTATTTTGTGCTGGGAATTAGTATGTAGTTGATTACATATTGCATTTATTTATCAGTTAAATTTTTCATTTCTAGCAAAAATTTAGTTTTTCTGAATTTTATTGAATTAGGGTTTTTTGATAATCTTTTCTATCAGAACTGTTATACCATATTCCTAGAATCCTAACTGGTATTCTTGGAAGCAACCATATATTATATAGTCTTCCATTGTTATGCCTTGACTGAAATTGCTGTCATATCCATT